CTCCAATAGCTGTTTATATCTTACCCTAACTGCCTCCTCTTTTAGTTTATAAACCTTCACCTCTCTCTTCCCTGATGCTTCTATTCTCCTTGTATCCCATCTACCTTTTACTCTCAGTGTAGCTACAACTAGAAAGTGATCTGATATATCTGTGGCCCCTCTATAAACATGTACATCCTGAAGTCTACTCAACAGTCTTTTATCTACCAATACATAATCCAACAAACTAACTGTCATTTCGCCCTACATCATATCGTGTATACTTATTTATCCTCTTTTTCTTAAAATATGTATTACCTATAACTAAACCCCTTTCTATACAAAGTTCAATCAAAGGGCTCCCATTATCATTTACACCTGGCACCCCAAACTTACCTACCACACCCTCTCTAAAAGTTTCTCCTACTTTAGCATTCAAGTCCCCTACCACAATTACTCTCTCACTTGGTTCAAAGGCTCCTATACATTCACTTAACATCTCCCAAAATCTCTCTCTCTCCTCTGCATTCCTCTCTTCTCCAGGTGCATACACGCTTATTATGACCCACTTCTCGCATCCAACCTTTACTTTAATCCACATAATTCTTGAATTTACACATTCATATTCTCTTTTCTCCTTCCATAACTGATCATTTAACATTACTGCTACCCTTCCTTTGCTCTAACTCTCTCAGATACTCCAGATTTAATCCCATTTATTTCCCCCCACTGAAACTCTCCTACCCCCTTCAGCTTTGTTTCGCTTAGGGCCAGGACATCCAACTTCTTTTCATTCATAACATCAGCAATCATCTGTTTCTTGTCATCCGCACTACATCCACGCACATTTAAGCAACCCAGTTTTATAAAGTTTTTCTTCTTCTCTTTTTTAGTAATTGTATACAGGAGAAGGGGTTACTAGCCCATTGCTCCCGGCATTTTAGTCGCCTCATACGACACGCATGGCTTACGGAGGAAAGATTCTTTTCCACTTCCCCATGGACAATAGAAGAAATAAAAAAGAACAAGAGCTATTTAGAAAAAGGAGAAAAACCTAGATGTATGTATATATATATATGCATGTGCGTGTCTGTGAAGTGTGACCAAAGTGTAAGTAGGAGTAGCAAGATATCCCTGTTATCTTAGCGTGTTTATGAGACAGAAAAAGAAACCAGCAATCCTACCATCATGCAAAACAGTTACAGGTTTTTGTTTCACAGTCATCTGGCAGGACGGTAGTACTTCCCTGGGTGGTTGCTGTCTACCAATCTACTACCAATCTACCACATATATATATATATATATATATATATATATATATGTGGGGAGAGTAATGGGTGTTATGCTTGAGAGATTTGGGGGGAGCAATTACGGGCCGAAATTTAATATCTGCAGTAGAGAGTGTCACCCAGCCAGATTTGAAAGAGTTACCCAGCATTATATCACTCGGGGCTCGAGAGCTGTATCCGCCATTTTTAAACCACTTCCTGAAGTTACCCAGCTGAGTCACCCATCATCCTGGCGTGAAGCTAAATAACAGCGCGACTGTAGATGAATGGTTCAAAGAACCGACATGTTAAATTTGACACATGTGCAACTCTTGGGTATCTTTATTGAGGAAACGTTTCGTCATACATTGGCTTCATCAGTCCATACAAAGGATAAACTTGAAGAACAGGAGGAGAATGAGGTAATCAGTCCCTCAACCTTGAGTCGATGTGGTCAGTCCATCAATCTTGAATAGAATACGGCATATGAGCGGGGAAGCAGCTTATAAATCGTAGGCAGGAGAGGTGCAGCAGTCGTAGGTGGTGTCACATTTGTCCAATGTGGAAGTAGGTCGTGTCCAAGGGTTAGGCAAGCGAAGAATTCCCAAGTATTAAGATCCCAAGAAGTTGCAGTGTCTGACAGGATTGTAGATGAATGGAAATTCTTCGCTTGTCTAACCCTTGGACACGACCTACTTCCACATTGGACAAATGTAACACCACCTACGACTGCTGCACCTCTCCTGCCTACGATTTATAAGCTGCTTCCCCGCTCATATGCCGTATTCTATTCAAGATTGATGGACTGACCACATCGACTCAAGGTTGAGGGACTGATTACTTCATTCTCCTCCTGTTCTTCAAGTTTCTCCTTTGTATGGACTGATGAAGCCAATGTGTGGCGAAACGTTTCCTCAATAAAGATACCCAAGAGTTGCACATGTGTCTAATTTAACAACAGTGCGACCTTTACCAAAACAGAGATTTAAGTAAGTTTATAAGTACAATTATCATATATAGCTTAACATATGTGTAAATTACCTAGAATAACCCCCCAAAAGGTCAAAAGTGACTTTGATAAAAATAGAAGTTAAGAATGCACATTCATTACGCATTTTTATATTTATCAGAAATCCCCCAGAGTCACTGTAACATTACAAAAGAAAAACTGTGTGTGTTAAGTTTTATGACAGAGTGGTCGCGAAACGCGTGCTAAAAAAAATAGAAATAAAGTTTGGGAAAATTATATCGGATAACATAAGTGGCTTCAACAAAAACATTTTTTGTTTTAGAACCGTCTTCATTACAGTCCTTGATGATATTGCATCAATAAAGCATATTAGGATAAAAATAAAAACAGGACCGAACCCTAGATATCCGGCAACGTGCAAAATAATATAAAATTCAGAGAACAGTGGTTTTAAAGCAAATAACATACTGCGACCGGCTGGCGATTGAACCCAAGCCATTTAGCCAGCTAAACTCTCGACGCCTTAGTCCACTACGCCATTAAGCTACCTTAGACGCTGGGTGTCCAGTAGGTACACTAGACATGCCACTCCTAACGCCAAGTGCATTCATGGTAGTGGAAAGCTCAGAAACTAATTTCATTCTCCCTCCCTCCCCCCTTCCTTTAGATATCAGTCTCACGAGCATTACACACATAATGCGTCTACAAAAACAAGTGGTTTTAAATTATTATTATAATCATGAGGGAGCGCTAAAACCATAGGATTATACAGCACATTGGGGGGGGGGGTTATGGAAGGTATTCAGGCTCAATTCAGGGAACTGGAGCACAGATCTAATTCCCTAGATCAAGAGCCCCTCACCAGCATCAAGGAACCTCCCTTGAGGGGTAGTAGTTTTAAAGCAAATAACATACTGCGACTGGCCAAGGAATGAACCCACGTTTCCTTATACCTGCTGCCCCTGTTCACCTAGCAGTAAGTAGGTTCCTAGGTGTTAGTCACATCCCAGAGAGTGGTAATATATCTCAGATAGGGATGGACTTTGATATGAGATGATGTAGAATAACAGCTCTTATCCTGTTAAATTGATCTGTGTAAAGAAACAAATCTACTTGCATGACTGCCAATAAGCTCACTCTCAATACTGACAAAACTTTCTACATGATGTTCGGGAACAGAACTGCAAATGTCCAACTAAATATGATTCACGGGTCTCACATCGTAAGACAAAACGAGGGAAACTTAAAATTCCAACACCCACATCCAGCACATAACCAAAAAGGTTTCCAAAACAGTAAGCATCTTCTCTAAGATACGTTACTACGTACCTCAAACAGCACTACTTACTCTGTACTACTCAATAATCTATCCTTACCTAACCTATGGGATTTGTGCCTAGGGGATTTACTACAGCAAATCACCTTAAGCCAATAATAATTCAACAAAATGCGGCTGCAAGAACGATCACCCATCAAGAGGCGGACAACACATGACCCTCACCCATCAAAACTTTCTTAACATACATAACATGCACTCATACTACTGTGCATACTATATATACTATATGCATACTATATTCTTTTCTCACGCATTTTATGCGCTATCACACCATGGCCACACTTGTCGAAGGCTTTTGCAAAGTTTGTGTATATTACATCTGAATTGTTTGTCTTCTACAGCATCCAGGACCTTGTCGTAGTGGTTCAGTAGTTGGGAAAGACAGGAGCTACCTGCTCTAAAACCATGCTGCCCTGGGTTGTGTAACTGATGGGTGGCGATCTTGCTTCTTAGAACCCTTTCAAATATTTTTTTGATATGGGACGTTAGCGTTATCGGTCTATAGTTCTTGGCTATTGTTTTATTGCCCCCTTTGTGGAGTGGGGCTATGTCTGTTATTTTTAGTAACATCTGGAAATTTTAGTTAATTTTTTGGCTGCCCGGAAAGCTCTGCATAACCAAGGCCTTTCTTTAGTGTGCCAAGAAAGTCAACTAATTTTATATCAGTTATATGATGTACTTTGTAGAAATAGATTTATTATTGGGTTGGGTAAGGTTCGTCAGGAAACAGGACAAGTGTTTCCTGACGCTGGTCTTAGATGATGACCGGCCGTTGGACCTTCTGGTCAACTAATCGAGGTTTTCCGCTGGCTTACCTGTCCACCCCTTGAAAAATTATGATCATAGTTATAACCATTTAGTGAGAATTATATTAATTATTATTAATGGGAATAATAGCCATAAATAAGTTTATTTAGGTACAGGTACACATAAGTACAATTATCATAGTGTAAATTACTGAGGATAACCCAAAAAAGTCAGTGATTTATTTCTATTGAGGTGTTTGTCAGTGGCTGTATTGGGTTATCTTGGGCTGCTAACGTTACCACAACCAATATTAATCCGAAAACAAAAATATTTTTCTTCTTCAGCTATTAATCTACAAGCTGTTAATCTACTATTGTAAATCTAATGTATCTTCTTGTAAAATAAAGTTATCTTATCATAGGTTAAGAAAGCAATCGGACAAGGGAGAGGCAGCTGATTTACCCAAACACGATATGACCAACCATTATTCAGGATTCAATAATTACCCTTATAAAATCTTCCTCTGTTTAACAAAATTAAAATACCTTTCCACGTGAAATACTTTTAACAAGTTCATCCTCAAATATTTTGGCTACACTATTCCAATGAATAATTTTTATTGAGTATATACGGGAGGTATTAATTGGTCTGGAGTCTGATCCTGATATTCGGAGAGGAAGTGTAGACGAAGTCTGTAACTACACAAGCTGTGAAGGCTGTCTCGGATTTCTCTGATTATCGAGAGCAGAATAACTCTAATTAAGATAGGATGACTAAGGGTGAAGCTTTCCACAGTTTGCTTGAACCTGATCTGCCAGTAAAGGTTAGTTTTAACAATATTCTCTAAATTAACAGTTACAACACATTTTTTTCCTAGTTCTAGTCACAAAGGCGTAATTCTTCAGTTATATAAAAACTGCATTACGAAAGATTTATAAATTTTAAATTTACTGATCTGATTTTTTAAATGGTTGTAAATACATTATTACAGGCATACAATGGTAATATGGTATGAAATAAATCACATTGAGTATTGAATTATCCTAGGTTCAGTAGGCCACAGGCCTGGTAGACCCGTGGCCTGCTAGGCAAAGCTCTCACTTCACACACTGAGTGTCCGTGGTTCGATCCCCGGCAAGGGTGGGAAAACATTGGGCGTATTTCCTTACACCTATTGTCCCTGTTTACCTAGCAAGCAAGTAGGTACCTGGGTGTTAATTGACTGGTGTGGGTAGCATCCTGGGGTACAAGACTGAGGACCCCAATGGAAATATGACAGTCCCTTGATGACGCACTTCCTTTTCTCCAGTTATCCTGGGTAGCTAACCGTCTGGGGTTAAAAATCTGAACAAAATTTTATCTTAACAAGATGTTTAGCACTAGTGAAAATTATAGTATTAATCTATGAGAATCCAGAAAGACTAGTGGAAAAAAGTCATATTGATTGACATTCTTGAGCTACCCTTGTTTAAATCCACATAATGCTATAAATGTGATGGGACGATACCAAAATTTCTGCCGATACCGATACCCAATTTTCAACTGATGCCGATACTTTTCCTATACTTTTTGTTTTTGAAATTGTAATGATAATGTTCAGTATATAATGGAATGCTTATTGCACAATGGATATTAAATAACACAGGATGATTAAATATTAAATAACTTAATTTCTCTGAGATGACAATGCCATTGCTTATTACTTGTTGATTATGAGAGTGAGAGTCAGTGACCCCTCACAATTATGAGGTAGAGTGTTAATTTTGATATTCTTAAGCACACGTAATAAATATTTTAAAAGTATCAGACGTTTTTTCACTGATACCATAAAAATGGCTGATACTCACCAATAACAATTGGTGGTTTATCTAACATTGGTGTGCCTTCAAGACCATTGTATAACCTAAATAAAACGTTATTTTTCATACTCAGTACAGTACTATAATATATTTATTTTAAAGTGCATGCCATGTTAACCAAATGCATTTCATTAAAGTGTTTAAATTTATGACCAGGTATATCACTCGATTATTTCAGTTTTGAGTTGATTTATCCTGGACATGGGTGCAGGAAACATGTGGCTCAGGAAGTGCTACAATAATTATAGATGATTAAAGTGGCAGAATAAAATAGCTTAAAATAAATGTCTACCAAATTGTCAACTACCTTTGTTGGGCCTACAGTGTCTCAAATTTTGAAAGGGGTTGGAATTAGTCAACATGCTACTAGGGGCAGTAAACATAGCTTCCTTATTTCTACTGCATGCAACTTGGCATTAAAAATCTTTTGAACAGCTGCAAACCACTGGAATAAATACTACTCTAACCATGTCAAAAGCCTGTGGTGATATGGAACAGGTCAATACACAAATAACCCGCACATAGAAGAGAGGAGCTTACGACGACGTTTCGGTCCGATTTGGACCATTTACAAAGTCACACTAACCAGAAGTGGAGCAGGACAGCTATATATAGGCAGGAAGAGGTAGGGTAGTAGTAGCAGTAGTAGTAGTAGTAGTGGTAGCAGTGGGGAATTAAGGAGGAGGAGCCAGTCAAATACAAAGAAAGGGGAGCACTGCAAGGGAGCTAGGTGCCCACAGAGGGAGAGCAAGTGCACAGAGGTGGGGGGAAGGGAAAGTGATGAAATAAATAATGAACAGAAACACGCGACAGAAGAAGGAAAGGGGAAAAGGGAGAAGAAGAAAAAATAAGGAATCAGGTTGTCACAGGTGTTCTGAAGTTTGGAGCATTTTACAATGTAGTGGGAGAGGAAGGCATCTACAGAGATGAAGCCAGGACTAAGATTCATACAAGGAAAGTTGTGTATTAGAGAGGATTCAACTAGACGGCGACTGTTAGAGTTGGAAGTAGGGAAGACAGTTTTAGTGGAAGACCAGTCAATAGGATGGCTGTGATCTCTGACGTGACAGAGCATTGTTAGTGTCGGCAAGCCTAACACTATTTTTGTGCTAAGTCTGTCAGAAAGAGATCGGCCAGTTTTTCCAAAGTCAAGTGTAAAGTAAAGCTGCAAAGGAGAATATTTAGTGCTACAGTACTAATAGTGTTGCAGTATGAGTAGGCAATGTGCAATGGTAAATGTGTTGAATGTGAAATTTGTCCCAGACTTCAGATGAAATAGATGAATCTGTAATTTGTATTAATTCTACCAAGTAGGCAGTATGTAATGGTAAACTAGTAACACATGAAACATATCCCATATCATTGTAACAGCTTAATTTTTAATATTATCTTGGTCTATGGTATGCTTACTGTAACTATAACCATTGGTATACAGCACTGGTAAGCCTGTGGTTACATAATCACTAATATACAGCACCAGTATGTAAGTGGTTGTTTAATGACTGAGTGGATCTGTGAGAAACATAACCATCCTTTGTACTATTTGTTCTCTATAAGAAAATAGGTTCTGTATTACAAATAACATAACCAAGAATTCAACTACAGTGGTACCCCGAGTTTCGTACAGCTCCCAACTCGAACACTTATGTAAATGTATTATTGTAAGTGCTTTTGTAAGTGTATTTTTGGGGGTATGAAACGGACTAATCTAATTTACATTATTCCTTATGGGAACAAATTTATTCGGTAACGGCACTCGAACAGCCTTCTGGAATGAATTATGGCCGAAACTCGTGGTACCACTGTATTTCATAAGCTGGGGACATCTGTATATCTTAATGCATACAAAACTAACCTCATAAGCTCACACACTTCAATTCAAGCATAAAGCACTGTATAAATTATTATAGTGTATGTGCATAGAGTAGATACAGTGGACCCCCGCATAACGATGGCATCACATAGCGATTATTTCGCATACCGCTTACTTTAATTGCAAAAATTTTGCCTCACATACCGCTTAAAAACCCGCTTACCGATTTTCTTCCGAGACGCGCTCACATGTTCCGCCGGTGGCATTGTTTACCAGCCAGCCTCCGCGGTAACATCCAAGCATACAATCGGAATATTTCGTATTATTACAGTGTTTTCGGTGCTGTTTCTGGAAAATAAGTGACCATGGGCCCCAAGAAAGCTTCTAGTGCCAACCCTGTGGTAAAAAGGGTGAGAATTAGTATGGAAATTAAGAAAGATTTTGAAGGGTTTGGGCTAACCCTGAGAAGCCTATGCCAGTTGTGGAATCCATTGTGCCTACTTCAAAAATTAAGGAAATGTGTGCACAGTGGGTTGAACTGCAAACCTTTATGGATGAAAATCACCCTGACACAGCTGTTGCAAGCCGTGCTGGTGACTATTTCAATGACAATGTTGTGGCCCATTTTAGACAAATCGTAAAGGAACGGGAGGTACAGAGCTCTATGGACAGATTTGTTGTGCGACAGAGGTCCAGTGACTCTCAAGCTGGTCCTAGTGGCATTAAAAGAAGAAGGGAAGTAACCCCGGAAAAGGACTTGCTACCTCAAGTCCTAATGGAAGGGGATTCCCCTTCTAAATCAGTAAGAAGATAATGCTCTCCCCTCCTCCCATCCCATCAATCATCACCAGATCTTCAATAAAAGTAAGTGTCATGTAAGTGTGCATGCCTTTTTCAGTTTGTGTGTATTAAAATTAACATTTCATGTGGTAAAAAAAATTTTTTTTCATACTTTTGGGTGTCTTGCACGGATTAATTTTATTTCCATTATTTCTTATGGGGAAAATTCATTCACATAACGATTATTTCGCATAACAATTACCCCTCTTGCACGGATTAAAATCGTTAACCGGGGGTCCACTGTACACTGAGAAAGGTGTGTAGTTCTTGGGAATGAAAGTAGCTTTTATGCTAGCATCTAGAAGGATTGTAGCCTTAACCCTTTCAGGGTTGGTGCCGTACTAGTACGGCTTGCATGCCAGGGTTGGTGCCGTACTAGTACGCATAAATTCTAGCGCCTTCAAATCTATCGAGAGAAAGCTGGTAAGCCTACATATGAAAGAATGGGTCTATGTGGACAGTGTGCACAGTATAAAAAAAATCGTGCAGCACACAGTGCATAATGAGAAAAAAAAACTTTGTGTTTTTGGTTTAAAACAGCGACTTTGAACTGCATTTTCGTATAGTATTTATGGTTGTATTCTCGTTTTCTTGGTCTCACTTGATAGAATGGAAGATATATCACAGGAATAAAGATGATTTTGATTGGTTTCACAATGAAAAGCACCTCGAAATTGAGCTCAAAGTAGCAGAAATGTTCAATTTTTGCCAAAGTTCAAAAGTAAACAAATCATGCCACATGTCCAGTACACGTCAACTGGTGAGTCTAATATTCTTTCACAAGTGCGCTGATATTATTTATACCATTTCTACACTAATGCAGTAGTCTGCATAATAGTAAATCTTCTACTTATTTGTGAGAATAAAAATTCAAAGTGGAAAGCAAAAGAAATGTAAGAGAGGCCTGGGGACGTGACTAATGAACAGAGGAAATGTTATTTTAGTGCCAGGAATGTCTGTCTTGTTTATTTTGGACCCTATTTGGAAATTGGCATCTTTTGAAATTGGCAAAATTGCCAATTTCTGACCACTTTATTGGATAGTTGAAATCGGTAAATGGGTGGTTTCTTATATTCATTCGATAGAAAAAATGGACTTCTAGCAAAATAGTTACGACTTTTTCGACTGGAACATTGGAATTGGCTGAAAATAGGACTCAAAGTGGGCAAAATCGCCGATGCGTAAACATCGTCAAGACCGCTAACTTCACAAGAGCATAATTCCATAAGTTTTCCATCAAATTTCATACTTTTGGTGTCATTATGATCGGGAAAAGTCTCTCTATCATTTCATTTTTTTTTTTTTTCGAAAAATTTCTGACCCTGAGAACAAGTTTCAGAGAGGGCCTGCTGACCCTGAAAGGGTTAATGACCCTTATGTAGATGGTTGGGGTGTTAACCAACAAAGACTGAAGAGCCAGTATTGGATGAAAACAAGGGTGGCTTAAATTTAAAAATATAAAAGTTTATTATGTGTTCCTTTCTATCATGTTTTAATGTTTAACAAAAAAAACACACGTCTTACTGTATGTAAAACTTTTGCCAAAATAATTTATAATTATATCAATTTTTTTCAGACTCGGCGTAGAAGCACTGGATGCCAATTTTTTATCATGGGTATTGCAACTGCTCTCTCTCTTGCATCATTGGCTCTGGCTGTGTATCAAGTAAGGATTATAGGGGTTTTCAAGATGGAAAATTTAAAGGAAAATTTAACATTTCTGAAGAACAAGCAAAACTAAATGAAGAAAAAAGAACCTTTAGTTGATTATATTATTTTATGTATTAATGTTATATTGTTTCTTTATATATGAAATAAGAAAACAAAGATGTACTGTGTTGCTAACATTTTTATGTTAGCAGTACAGTACATCTTTGGTTTCTTATTTCAGCTAACATATTTACACTGCTAACATTTTTATTAAATTTCAGTTTTTCCCAAAAAATTAAGATATTCTGCCAAAAAACAATAATTTACATTGCATATTCATTAAATACAATATAGCACAAAAAATTGCAGAAAATGCTGCATATTGTATTTCCTATTGGATCTCCTGATATGTTTTATTCTTAAACACAAAGGCCATTTCCCACTAAGGCAGGGTGACCCGGAAAAGAAGAAACACTTTCATCATTCACTATCACTGTCTAGTTGGAGGTGTGCCTACACTACAGTTATAAAACTGCAACTTATCAATACCCTTCCTTCAGAGTGCAGGGACTGCACTTCCCACCTCCAGGACTCGAGTCCAGCCTGTTGGCTTCCCTGAATCCCTTTATAAATGCTACCTTGCTCACACTCCAACAGCACATCAAGTCCTAAAATCCACTTGTCTTCTACTTGCTCCTATCTAACACGCTCGCGCATGCTTGCTGGAAGTCCATACCCCTCTCACACGAAACCTCCTTTAACCCCTCCCTCCAACCTTTGCGGCTGAACCCTAACCCAGCATTCCTTCCACAACACATTTATATGCTCTCCAGGTCATTCTTTTTCATTCTATCGTCTTTAAATGTCCGAACCCCCTACCTCCTCCTAATTTCAAACTACACATTCTCTGCATTATATTCACACACATTGTCCTCAGACACAACATCTCCACTGCCTCCAGCCTTCTTGTTGCAACATTCACCGCCCATACTTCACACCCATATAAGAGTGTTGGTATGACTATACTCTCATACATTCCCCTTTTTGCTTCCATGGATAACGTTCTTTGTCCCCACAGACTCCTCAGTGCACCACTCGCCTTTTTTACCCTCATCAATTCTGTGATTCACCTCGTCTTTCATAGACCCATTTACTCACAAGTCTACTCCCAAATATATTAATACCCTCACTTCCTCCATACTCCCTCCCTCCAATCCGATATCCAGTCTTTCATTGCCTAATTTTTTTTATCCTCATCACCTTACCCTTTCCTGTGTTCACTTTTAATTTCCTTCTTTTACCAAACTCATCCACCAACCTCTGCAACTTCTCTTCAGCATCTCTCATCACACATCCCTGTCTAAGGCCTACTTTTGCTGGAAAATTATCTCCCTCTCTCTCCTACAGTATGAATGCCATGTTAAAAATATATACAGTACTGTGCTGTATAAACCTTAGACTTACATTTATTTATGTATCTGATGGTTATGTATGCATATATATAAACACTGTAATATATATTGTAGTGTATAGATACACAATAATTTTTGTCATTTCTGTTTGCGTTATGTCTGGAAGTGCTTCTAAATCGGTAAGTACAATTCATTGTCTGTCATGCCAATGTGTGCATCTTGCAAGTAGCAAACTGAATATCAAGCATCCACCAGCCATTGCACTGAATGACACAAACACACACATACCAGTTTAGCACCTCACACAATAATTTTGAGAGACAGTGCAGTAAATTCTTGTACTGTACTAGCTTTTTACTGAAATAAAAAAAAAGTATTGTAATCTGAAAAAGGAATTGTACTTGCCTTAGATTAAAAGTGAATTGAGACAACCTCGATTATGTTAATAAAATTGTAACGAAACTTACAAATTGTTGAAAAAACCATTGTAGAAAGAGGGAAATACAATATGGAAATGGTATAAGAAATTTTTTAAGGTGGCATGACAGATTGTAAATGTGGTATGCAAGTTGTAAGTAGATTAGCAAACAATGCTTTTGCCAACGGTTATCCACCCAGTCTACCTGTTTCAATATTTTATTGTAGCCATACTTAAAACTCATAATGCTCATTTGTTTTTGTTACTGTTTTGCAAACACTCACATTTAGTGTTTTGGTGCAAATTTATATGTAATATTATATTTTATGTAAAATTAATCTGATCAGTTTGTCAAACAATGACATTCTTGGAATTTTTTTTTTTTCAGGCTACTTCGACACATCAAAGTGTACATGCTATTTCAGAAGGGGTAGTTAGTGCATGGCCAACACCACCACCCCATGAACAAGTAACCAAAGTAGCAAGATATGTTGTGCATACCTCAGGTAGGCTCCACTTTAGTGATACAAGCCCAAAAATTGTATGTACAGTGGAACCTCAAATATCGAACTTTTTTCGGTCCAGAAGGCTGTTCAAGTGCCTTTACCAAATGAATTTATTCCCATCAGGAATAATGTAAATTAGATTAGTCCATTTCAGGCCCTCAAAAATACACTTATAAAAGCACTTACAAAAATACACTTACATAATTGGTTGTGTTGGGAGCAGTTTGATTTTTGAGGTTCCACTGTATTATTACCTGCTTGTAGTTAGAGTTATGTTCATTATGTCCCAGAGTTTCAGGGCTAATACTAAAAAATCTTTTGCATTGTTTATTACATTTGTAAAAAAGAGCTAAACCCTTAAGGTTCATACAATCCTTATATCACCCTTGAAACCTGATGGTTTCTTTTAATACATTTAGCTATTATCCTCCTTACTACAATTACCAGTAGAGTAGGGTCCTGACTTATGAAGCTCTGGTTATGAGGTTTCCCACTTATGACATTGGCATTTTGAACACAATTTGTAATCTCTTATGAACCAGTGACTTGAACTTTCAATGGGGAAGACTACTTATGCTAGGGGAGGAGCATTCATGGAGGGCAGTGCTCAGCCTGGTTGCTAGAAGTAAACATTCAGCTGATACCTTGTTTACTCTTGCCTTATGTTCACTGTATTTTTCTCAAGAACTTACTTTGGAAGAAAACAATGGACAAAGTTTGTTAAATCCAGAATTGTCTGTTACTGTTAAAATAATGAAAAAACAATCTCGTAATATAGATTGAGTGGACAATCAGCTTTTACAAACACCCTCCATCCCTATTAGTCCATTAAAGAAATGGCTCACTGGTTTACTGTTATATTTTGCATACATTATGTTGTATGCAAAATATAACAGGGATAACTTAAGAGACATTTTAATCACTTTCTGCAACATGCTTGGTTTATAAGGGAAGAGCTAACTTTTTACCCTACAGAGAATTGCATAAATTTTGTTTTTAATACATAGGCTGTCTCCCATTGAGCCAGGGTAACACAAAACAAAGTAACGAAAGTGTTTCTTCTTTTTACATTTAGTAATTTATACAAGAAAGAGCTACTCTCCCCTTTCTTCTGGCATTTTAGTTGCCTCTTACAACACGCATAGTTTACGGAGGAAGGATTCTTCTCCCATAAATTTATAGCTATTTAATTATTATTATAATCAAAAAGAAGAGCTAAGCCACAAGGGCTATACAGCTATAGCTATTTAACCCTTTGAGGGTCCGTCCCGTAGATCTACGGCTTTACGTTCAGGGTCCAAACCGTAGATCTACGTCATGAGCTCAGCTCACTCTGATAAACTGTGAGTGGTACATTTGGGCCTAGATATGAGAGAATACATCTATGTGGTATGTGTGCACCACATAAAACAGATCCTGCAGCACGCTGTGTATAATGAGAGAAAAAACTGAAATCATGATTTTTCGATTAAAACAGCGACTTTGCTGTGTTTTTCGTATGTTTTTTATAGTTCTATTTGCGATTTCTTGGTCTCATTTGATAGAATGGAAGACCTATTACAGAAATAGAGATGATTTTGATTAGTTTTCGCACTGGAAATGGCTTGAAACTGAGCTCAAAGTAGCAGAAATGTTAAATTTTTGCCGATATTCAAGAGTAAACAAACGACCTCACACGTCTAATACACGCCAGCTGGTGGGTCTAATATGCATTCACAAATATGGTGATGATATTTATACAATTTTTACAGTATTGCATAACAGTAAATCTTCTATTTTTTGGTGTGAATAAAAATTCATTATGTGAATAAAAAATGAAAATGGAATTTATTTGTAAAGCCTCAAAACGTAACTAATGAACAGAGGAAATGTTAGTTTAATTCCAGGAATACCTACATTGTTTATTCTGGACCCTATTTTGAAATTGGAATATTTTGAACTTTGTGTTAAATTGGCCAAATTAACAATTTCCGATCACTTTAATTTGTAGTTGAAACAGTTGACTTGGCGATTTCTTGTGCTCAGTCGATAGAATAGAAGTAATACTAATGAAATAGCTAAGAATTTGGTTGACTGGAATAATGTAATTGGCCTAAAATGGGAGTCAAAGTTGGCAAAATCGTCGATTCGTAAATATTGCTGACACATCAAAATTCGCGAGAGCATAATTTCGTCAATTTTCCATCAAATTTCGTGCTTTTTGTTTTATTACCTTTACAAAAAGATTCTCTACCATTTCATAAGAGAAAATAAAATTTTTTTTTTTTTAAATTCTTGGACACTGGGGCACCACTTCAGATTTGGGCCTTGGACCCTGAAGGGGTTAAACATTAGCAAATATGGTCTTCATCCTGTACATTTCATCTATGTTATAATATAAAAGCATAAAAGACAGTAAATAATCATAGCATGATACAGGAAATTATTATACTGTACAGTACTAATAATTCCAATTTTAATAATGAATTATAAACTATTAGAGAAATAATATTTTTGAATAATAATAATTTTTTTTTTTTTTTTAGCATGGGCATCAATAGCAACGATCTCCACTGCTCTACCTATTCAGGGCTTTCCATTTGCCAACATCATAAGTGTCTGCGATGGCCCTGTGAATAAGTCAAGTGGCATTCCTTATATGTATATGACCCGATTCGATTTAAGTGGGAAAGATTTGCTTGTAAGTTGACATATTATTTCAATGCAGGTATAGCAGTTCTTTTCTTAAAATAAACATTTGGGATGAAGATATGTAATTATGTATGTTTTCCAGCATAATGTAAAAATTTACATTCAGGGTATAGGTGATGAGTGATAGATGTGCTTTAGACAAATGGTGCATCAAACAAAATCACATAAAGAGAACCTAATTTAACATGCAAAATGCAGTGATGTATTCCAAGATCTCTACAGTCACTCAGACCAGTCAATGTCACTTCAATTTGCTGAGTGCACTGCACTCAGCAGTGGCAGCAATTGACAAGCATGTGAAGGTCTAGTTGATAAATTGCCTTTTGAATTTGTGGAGGGGGTAAGGAAGGCTTCAAGTGTTAGGGGTATAACATCCAACAGGCTTGGGTGAGCATGTTAGATAGTAGTGGAGGCATGTGGTTTCTATGATTTGACATGCTGATGTAGTGTGAACAAGGTAATATTTAGGAAGTGATTCAGGAAAACCAGTTAGCTGGATTTGAGTACTGGAGGGGGGAAGTACAGTGCACTGTAAAGGAGAGATGATGTTGCTTCTGGCAAGACAAGTGACTGAACAAATGATGATGCAGGTGTTTCTTCTTTTTTGAGTTATCCTGGCTTACTTGTAGGTTACCAGTAGTCACTCCCAGAGGTGTCCACCCCCAGCACCTGGTCCCAGACCAAGCCTCCTGGTTGCTTGCCTGATCAGTTAGGCTGTTGGTGTGGGATATGGCCAATGTGTGTGTGTCTGAAAAAAAAATTCCATTTTTTTGTACCCCATTTTCCTTTTTGACTGGCTGACATAAAAAATGTCGCATCTAGTGGGAAGAGAGGATGGTGCAAGGTCATCTAGTTCAGACTCCACATTACTGGTAACAGGAAGGGTGACATTCAGATTATGTTTATGGGGAGTGCTAGAACCCATAGGGGTCATGTAGCACCTAGTGAATGAGAAGTGTTCAGGTTCGATCCAAGGAAGGGAAGGGCAGATCCAATTCCTTGGATTAAGAGCCCTTCACTGGCATCAAGTGACCTCCCTTGAGGGGTGTGACATCCAGATAAAACACAAATAAGGAGTTCTTATCACCAGATATCAAAGAATTTTTGTTAATTTATTCATCAAGGAAGAAAAAACTGACAGGTCTTTGTCATAAGGTGACTAATTCATTGGTGCCAGCCTTTTGGTGGAGGCATGACCAAGACATTGTAGAGCAGACATTGGCCCTATAGAGAATCACTGCAGCAGCAACTGTTGTGTTGCTGGTGCTGACCTTGACCTTTGTCGGTTTAGCACTTTATTTGATTATAATAATACTGGTGCTGAATATGGAGAGGATATGAATGTGGAATGGCTAGTTATTACTACAGTATTATTTATATTATTATTAGCGTTTTAAGTGCTAGGGTGCTGTATAGTCCTTGTGGCTTAGCGCTTCGTTTTGATTATAATAATAAGTGCTAGGGGCTTGAGCATCCAGCAGACTCGTGTGTTAGACTGGTTTGATTGGTGATTATTATTATTACAATCAAAGCTAAGTACTAAATCCTTAAGGGTCATACAGTTCAGTGGAAATAAGTGGTTTTTATGGCCTGACATGCCGTTGGGAGGCAAGCAAGACAGCATTTATGAAAGACTTCAGGGAAAATTGGTTAGCTGGACTTGAATCCTGGAGGTGGGAACTACAATGTCTTCACATTGAAGGTGGTGGTGGGAATATTACACTTCAAGGGGTCATTTGAATTGTAGTATCTGTGCACTCCTGGCAAGACAGGTAATGAATGATGGTGAATGTGTTTCCTTTTCTTGGATCTCACTGCTTTGGTGGGAGATGGTCAGTGTTAAGCTCATGTGGGTCATTCAGTGCAAGGAGGTTCAATTTTCTGTCTGCTAAGGCTGTATGACCCTTGTGTGTTTAGCACTTAGTTATGATATAATACTCTGTCTTGACAAGAGGCGTGGAGTTAAAAGATAAAAAATCACACATAAAGTGGGAGTTGTCACAGTTGCTCTTTGCTGATGACACTGTGCTCTTGGGAGATTCTGAAGAGAAGTTGCAGAGATTGGTGGATGAATTTGGTAGGGTGTGCAAAAGAAGAAAATTAAAAGTGAATACAGGAAAGAGTAAGGTTATGAGGATAACAAAAATATTAGGTGATGAAAGATTGGATATCAGATTGGAGGGAGTATGGAGGAGGTGAATGTATTCAGATATTTGGGAGTGGACGTGTCAGCGGATGGGTCTATGAAGGATGAGGTGAATCATAGAATTGATGAGAGGAAAAGGGTGAGTGGTGCACTTAGGAGTCTGTGGAGACAAAGAACTTTGTCCTTGGAGGCAAAGAGGGGAATGTATGAGAGTATAGTTTTACCAACACTCTTATATGGGTGTGAAGCATGGGTGATGAATGTTGCAGCGAGGAGAAGGCTGGAGGCAGTGGAGATGTCATGTCTGAGGGCAATGTGTGGTGTGAATATAATGCAGAGAATTTGTAGTTTGGAAGTTAGGAGGAGGTGCGGGATTACCAAAACTTTTGTCCAGAGGGCTGAGGAAGGGTTGTTGAGGTGGTTCGGACATGTAGAGAGAATGGAGCGAAACAGAATGACTTCAAGAGTGTATAAGTCTGTAGTGGAAGGAAGGCGGGGTAGGGGTCGGCCTGAAAGTGGGAGGGGTAAAGGAGGTTTTGTGTGCGAGGGGCTTGGACTTCCAGCAGGCATGCGTGAGCGTGTTTGATAGGAGTGAATGGAGACAAATGGTTTTTAATACTTGACGTGCTGTTGGAGTGTGAGCAAAGTAACATTTATGAAGGGATTCAGGTAAACCGGCAGGCTGGACTTGAGTCCTGGAGATGGGAAGTACAGTGCCTGCACTCTGAAGGAGGGGTGTTAATGTTGCAGTTTAAAAACTGTAGTGTAAAGCACCCTTCTGGCAAGACAGTGATGGAGTGAATGATGGTGAAAGTTTTTCTTTTTCGGGCCACCCTGCCTTGGTGGGAATCGGCCAGTGTGATAATAAAATAAAAAAAAAATAATAATACTCTGTCTGCTAAACCTAAGACAGATGCTCTTCCTAGAAGATAAAAATATTGCACAAAGGTAGAAATTTTATGATACTGGACTACTACCCTTGACAAGTGCCTAATTAGTCAGACCTGCAAGCTGCTAGCAGCAAAAACTTAGTTAACCATGCAATCAGTAAAGAAGTGTGACCTCAGGCCAGGCTAACACTTGAAACTGAATACAGATATTTAAAAGCCAGTAGGCATGAGAACGTGTTCAAGAGAGAGCAAGTGTTCATAGCAGAAATGAGGGACTTCAGCTGTGAAAGACTGGATGTGTTTCTAATGGTTTTTGGCAGGTGTGTTCATGTTACCCTAGGAATGTCAAAAACTCTTCAATAATAATAGCCAGTTTGTTTAAAATTTTCATAAAAAAAAAAAAAAAGATACAGCCTCTCCTCACTTAGCTACGTACTCGTTTGCTGACACCTCGGTATTCATACCAGTATTCATACCTAAATATTGTATATTAGAGCTGATTTCCTCTAATCTGTTTATTTCAATATAGTGGAACCTAGGTTTTTGTGATTAATTTGTTCCAGAAAGTCTGATGAAAACCGAATTGTACAAAACTAAAGCAATATTTCCCACAAGAAAATGTAAATCCAATTAATCCATTCCAGACACCCAAAAATATTAACAAAAATACATTTTATAGACAATAACTATAGTTTTACATACAGAAAACAATGAAAAATAAATATAATGATTAATGAAATGGATAAATGAACATTTAACATAACTTTTACCTTTATTGAAGACTTGTTGGCATATGGAAGACGGCAAGGAGGGGAGAGGGAGGAGAGGTAATTGTTTGGAAGGGGAATCCCCTTCCATAAGGACTTCAGGTATCAAGGCCTTATCTGGGGTTACCGCCCTTCTTTGTCTTTTACTGGGACTAAGACCATCTTGAGAGTCACTTTCGTACTTAGCTACGACTTCTTTTTTGAATTCTATCGTGTTTCTCGCCTTCTCTATCAAAGGGCTGGCACTCCGAACTTTCTTTGGCCCCATGGTGGCTTACTTAGCAGTTGCACTCAATAAACAAGCACAAAAAACAATATGTTATTACGAAATGTTTCAGCTGAATGCATGGGGTGATGCTCACTAAACGATAAATAAAGGCAGACTTAGTCACTCGGTACTTGAGTGGCCGAGTGATGCGGGCGGGCAGGTGGACGCGTTCGGTATGGACCATTGTCAACTCTACGAAAACTGGGACAAAATTTCGACAGAAAAAGTCGTCAAAAATTGAATCCTATGAAATTGGGGCGTACGAAAACCGAGGTTCCATTGTACAGTACACTACTGTATAAACATTTAAAAATATACAAGAAATGTTACAAATGGTGCAAAGGTGACATTAAAACAATATCAAAGATGGCTGATACAAACTCACCACCATTATAGTATGCTCATCACTTAGCGACAAATTCACTTAACAATGTGGTCTTACGAACAGAACTCTCTCGTTAAGTAAGGAGAGGTTGTACTGTATCACGATCTTGAAACAAGGCAGTGTAACTTGGGCCATATTTTATGGAGGTAACATACTGTATCCAGGGGCACCGACCCCCGGAATACCTTCCAGGTATGTTTATGTTCTGATGAACGTAATCATACATTTGGTAATGCAATACAGTTGCAGACAGGTGATCTTAATAATGCAAGACAAACCACGGGGGATGAAAATCTTCAGCATCATCAATAGCTATGCAATATTGCCAATTTCCCTCACAGGAATTTACTCTGAGGAAACTTCCTCTCATTCCACCTGTTGCTGCTCTTGCAACATTGCATAGCTGCTCCTGATATATAAATGTGTAAAAGATATTGAGCTAAAGATTGAAGAGCTGTATGACCCTTGTGGGTGTAGCACTTAGTTGTGATTGTAATAATCGAGATGCAGCTTTCCATTCCCCATAGCTTGTCTTGCATGTTTGGTAATTTTAATCTATTTTACCAAATAGTGTATAATAAGTTTTTGGAAAGCATAATTTCTTTATGCATAATGCATTTTTCCTTCTGCAAAAGAGCTGTGAGCACTGATAATTTACAATACTTTATATTGCAGAGCAATGACAAAGCTACATTATCTTTTTCTGAGGCTCAGTCTGACTACTGTAGTAAAGAGGATTTTGATCCAGAGGACCCACGATGTGCACGTGTCTTACTTACTGGTCACATCATTGAAGTGAGTCCCTTGGCATATTTGATTGTGTACTGTGATATTCAGTTGTACACATTTGGGATTGTCTTTATCAAATACTCATAGCTCTAGGTTCATATTGTGCTGTTATTTATTTAGTTCTGTGCATTAGGTCCATGACTATACTATGAGTCAGTGTGTATTGAGCACAATATCTTGTTTTCTTTTTTTCTGAACTGTTATTTTTATCCCAAAATCCTTTTATTTCACTGATACATGTAGCTTTTTCTTCTAGGCTGTACTCTCTCTTGTTTTTCTGTTCATACTTTGCAATATCTAATAAATGTTCAGATCAAATGCCAGTAGATAATTGTTGAACAACTGCAGCCTGTACGTCTTTCTGGTGCCTACCTTTGTTCTTTCTCATTCTTATCCATCATTAATTTTAAAGACAAGCAAATACACTTAGGATTTTATTTTGGATTTTACAATACAGTATTAAGAACAGTAGTGGTCCAGGTAATTTGGTACTCCCGCTACATTAGTCCAGTCAGATGTTTTATTTCTTACTGTTGCTCTGTAAAGCACTTTACCATTCTTGCTTTTGCTTCTAGTTTGTGGATTAGTTTCTGATGCAGTACTGTAGTGAATTCCTTCAAACAGTCAAAAATTCAGCCCACCTATTTCTGTCTGTCTTGTTTATCTCTGATGGTCATTTTAGCTCCAGTAAATTTGTAGGACAGTGAGTAAATTTCAAGTAATGTACATAACTTCATAAATATCCAAATTCTATTTTGTATAATCAGCCACTTGATTATCGGGTAGTTATCACATATATCTAAAATCAAGCTAGATAATGAGAATAGAAATGCAGTTTTAAAATTTTCAAATGATCTTCTATTAAGGTTAATAACTATCTATTCATTTTCTCTCTCTCTTCTCCCACCTTTCCCCATATATTGTCCTTACATTAGCATCTCTCTATACTTTCAGCTAAAAAATGGAACTACTGAGGCAAATTTTGCACAAAATGCTCTGTTTTCAAGGCACCCAATAATGAAATCTTGGCCTTCTGGTAAGTTACATAAGAATACTGCACTATATATACTTAACCCTAGCCAAGATTTTTTAAAATCTGTATAATGACAATGAAATGCAAGACAAATGTCATTCATCCTTTCTTGATTGGGCAATTTCTTGTACAATATTTCCATAATGACTTAATGTGTTAAAATTATAAGTAAAACATTTATTCAAGAATTGTACATGTTGATATAGTAATCCAGGTGATCACTAAATTTGGAACCTAGTTCTTAATAGAACTGGAAAATTTTAAGATTTCTGAACGTTAAATTGTCTAATTTAGAGATGTTCTTATATTTTATCACAAAATTTGATTGGTTGGGTAAAGCATGAGAGAAAATTTTAATATGGTATAGAGTACCTGATGCCATGAATTAAGGGCAAATTCGATTTTAAATTTTGAAATAATTTCAGAGTTTAATGCCAATATTTCACCTCATAACTTTACATAATGTATGATTTAAAAATTATTTTGTAAGACATAAAATTGTAATACAGGTGAGCTCTGCTTATACATCAAGTTTGGTTTTGGGCTACTGTTGTAAACTGAATCATAACCTTTTTTCACTTTCAAATGCATATGAAAGCCTTATAACATGTTTACACTATCATATATTAAGTGAGCAATAGAGCTAGGCCTAAAAAAATACACATACAGTACACACATTACTTTAAATATTTTCGTCCTTAGCTTATAGTGAGAGGTGAATATATTGTAGAAGTCTGAATAAATGAAGAATGAATATAATTGAAAAACTGCTGCACTAGCAAAACGCTGTAAAGTACTGTAAAGCGGGGCCTGCCTGTACTAGCAAGGACTGCTGATGCCATCTATTAGTGGTTCTAGAGGAGTGATTACCTTCTGAACAGCTCAGTCTCAGACTAGGCCTCCTAGGTTACAAAGGAAATATTACAGGATTAAGAGCTATTAAAAAACACGGGAAAGTAATGGTATGTGTATAATGAATGTAAGTACAAGTTTGGAAAATTTATCATCTTACACGTGCTTAGACAAAGAAAAGATCAGCAAGCCTGCCAGAATGCATATGGTTAAATAGGAGATAGTACTATACTTCCTTGGAGGGTTGCTGAACCAACACAATGTTGCAGTGGTAAATTTATCATGTTTATAAAGGAACTTCAGTGTTTAATGCTGATATTTTGCCTAATAACCTTGCCTAGCACGTGTTTTACATGATGCTGCTTTTGTAGGACAGTTAACCCCTAAACTGTCCGAACATAGATCTATGTTCACTCACATACCACTCCGAACGTAGATTGACGTTTTTTTTACATTTGCAAGCATGTACAGCAAAATAAAACGTAGATCTACGTTCGGACATTTTAAGGGTTAAATATAAGCAAATGATAAAATAAATTTTAAGAAAGTCTATCTGATGTCATGTATAAATAAATTCTCAGCTTTGAACGATAATCCCTTTTTGAACCTGATAGCCTGTCATTCTCCAGGCACTGTATGACCCCCATACAGGTTTTGTACCCCCCCTTGAAAGTAATAATAATAGTGTATATATAAATAGTGCCATTCTCCAACTAATTCTTATGTTTATCCCTAGATCACCATTTTTTTTTTGCCAAGATGGACATCGTGCACATCTACGTACTGGATTACTTTGGTGGACCATCTGAGGTGAATGTTGATGAATATTTCAAGACTGACCCATTTGCTTAATACTATCTAGACTTCAGGCTCTTTTGACACTGAAGGTCAACAAAATGTTCTCCAAGTTTTTTTTTTTATTTTAATTTTCAATCAGCATTCGAATTAAAAATCAAATGGGTTTACAACTCTTTTGTAATTAACTGCATCAGAACTGTATTTGGAAAAAATCTTTATAGTGGATTGTTGATTTTGCATTTATGGAAGAAATCTGAACTACCATCTATATACAGTATTTTGGTTATGAAAATATATCGAATATACTGCAAAATTTAATTGTAACAATCCATAAATATAGATTTGGATGGTCTAGTGTTATGATCAAAGCCTTTCAAGTGATGACTCATAATATAAATTTACCTGTAGGTTGACACCTTTGCGTATTTTTCTGAAACTTAAAATGTTTAAGATTATTAGTACTTTTTCATGCCCAACTATCCACTTTTAAGAACTTTAGAACACAATTTTTACATTTGAGCAGAGACAAGCTGGCCATACAGGCAATACCCAGTTGGCCACTGTGCTGGGTAAAAAAAAAAAAAACTGAAAAAAATGTCACGAAAAACTAGTCAGCAGCTCAGTTGGAGTAGTGACGAGTCCTACAGTTAATAACAACTCAAGCAGCAGTCTCCTGCCTTTCATTACCCTCTCATCCGGCCCAGATGCCCGGGCCAGTTTTAAGACCCAGTCTGCTGCTGCATTTGAGCTCTGATGCAACAAACCATTCTGTAATGACCATTTTGATTGTATGTATTTTTCATATCTTTAATTATCTGAATGTGATTCCTGCACACATTGTTGTATGAAGACAAAGAAACAGGTTGCAGAATAAGTTTTAAATGGAACAATATTTTGCTCTTTGTAGAGGTTTCCAAGTGAAGTAGTGTTGTAGTAAGAGCTTGTTCGCCCTTGTGGCTTAGCACTTCTTTTTAATTATAATAATAATCCATAGCTTGTTATATCTCAGTAATATTTGTATTTCATCCAGTGTTGCAGGGATGCCAAGCTTGCACTGCTTGGAAACTTTCTGTGAACATTAATGAACAATATATCAGTTCATTTTTAAAGACCCTGTATATATGTGGGTAACACTGTACTGTATTTTCCCTAAGCTATGCATGTAGTCATTATTGGTGGGTAGGGTTTAATTAGGATAAGTATTACACCATGTCATACCTTAAAAAAAAAAGTTATGTATTTTAATATCTTAAAATTTTGTTTAGATGAGAATCATTAAACACTATTAGACACAGAAATAGTGCTAAATAGAGTTTATTCCTTGTGAGTAAAATTTTTGAGGTACTGTACTATTTTGGTAGATTTCTAAGTCACTTATATTTGCATCCAGCTGAATATGTGTAGGAATATTGAAGCTCGGATCATGCATGTCAGTGGTACCTACAATATAATTGATCTGGATTGTAAAGGCTGTGCAACTCACTCACCCATATATATGTACAAGAAACAGATGATTGCTGATGTTATGAATGAGAAGAAGTTGGATGTCCTGGCCCTAAGCGAAACAAAGCTGAAGGGGGTAGGAGAGTTTCAGTGGGGGGAAATAAATGGGATTAAATCTGGAGTATCTGAGAGAGTTAGAGCAAAGGAAGGGGTAGCAGTAATGTTAAATGATCAGTTATGGAAGGAGAAAAGAGAATATGAATGTGTAAATTCAAGAATTATGTGGATTAAAGTAAAGGTTGGATGCGAGAAGTGGGTCATAATAAGCGTGTATGCACCTGGAGAAGAGAGGAATGCAGAGGAGAGAGAGAGATTTTGGGAGATGTTAAGTGAATGTATAGGAGCCTTTGAACCAAGTGAGAGAGTAATTGTGGTAGGGGACTTGAATGCTAAAGTAGGAGAAACTTTTAGAGAGGGTGTGGTAGGTAAGTTTGGGGTGCCAGGTGTAAATGATAATGGGAGCTCTTTGATTGAACTTTGTATAGAAAGGGGTTTAGTTATAGGTAATACATATTTTAAGAAAAAGAGGATAAATAAGTATACACGATATGATGTAGGGCGAAATGACAGTAGTTTGTTGGATTATGTATTGGTAGATAAAAGACTGTTGAGTAGACTTCAGGATGTACATGTTTATAGAGGGCCACAGATATATCAGATCACTTTCTAGTTGTAGCTACACTGAGAGTAAAAGGTAGATGGGATACAAGGAGAATAGAAGCATCAGGGAAGAGAGAGGTAAAGGTTTATAAACTAAAAGAGGAGGCAGTTAGGGTAAGATATAAACAGCTATTGGAGGATAGATGGGCTAATGAGAGCATAGGCAATGGGGTCGAAGAGGTATGGGGTAGGTTTAAAAATGTAGTGTTAGAGTGTTCAGCAGAAGTTTGTGGTTACAGGAAAGTGGGTGCAGGAGGGAAGAGGAGCGATTGGTGGAATGATGATGTAAAGAGAGTAGTAAGGGAGAAAAAGTTAGCATATGAGAAGTTTTTACAAAGTAGAAGTGATGCAAGGAGGGAAGAGTATATGGAGAAAAAGAGAGAAGTTAAGAGAGTGGTGAAGCAATGTAAAAAGAGAGCAAATGAGAGAGTGGGTGAGATGTTATCAACAAATTTTGTTGAAAATAAGAAAAAGTTTTGGAGTGAGATTAACAAGTTAAGAAAGCCTAGAGAACAAATGGATTTGTCAGTTAAAAATAGGAGAGGAGAGTTATTAAATGGAGAGTTAGAGGTATTGGGAAGATGGAAGGAATATTTTGAGGAATTGTTAAATGTTGATGAAGATAGGAAGCTGTGATTTCGTGTATAGGGCAAGGAGGAAATAACATCTTGTAGGAGTGAGGAAGAGCCAGTTGTGAGTGTGGGGGAAGTTCGTGAGGCAGTAGGTAAAATGAAAGGGGGTAAGGCACCCGGGATTGATGGGATAAAGATAGAAATGTTAAAAGCAGGTGGGGATATAGTTTTGGAGTGGTTGGTGCAATTATTTAATAAATGTATGGAAGAGGGTAAGGTACCTAGGGATTGGCAGAGAGCATGCATAGTTCCTTTGTATAAAGGCAAAGGGGATAAAAGAGAGTGCAAAAATTATAGGGGGATAAGTCTGTTGAGTGTACCTGGTAAAGTGTATGGTAGAGTTATAATTGAAAGAATTAAGAGTAAGACGGAGAATAGGATAGCAGATGAACAAGGAGGCTTTAGGAAAGGTAGGGGGTGTGTGGACCAGGTGTTTACAGTGAAACATATAAGTGAACAGTATTTAGATAAGGCTAAAGAGGTCTTTGTGGCATTTATGGATTTGGAAAAGGCGTATGACAGGGTGGATAGGGGGCAATGTGGCAGATGTTGCAAGTGTATGGTGTAGGAGGTAGGTTACTGAAAGCAGTGAAGAGTTTTTACGAGGATAGTGAGGCTCAAGTTAGAGTATGTAGGAAAGAGGGAAATTTTTTCCCAGTAAAAGTAGGCCTTAGACAAGGATGTGTGATGTCACCGTGGTTGTTTAATATATTTATAGATGGGGTTGTAAGAGAAGTAAATGCGAGGGTCTTGGCAAGAGGCGTGGAGTTAAAAGATAAAGAATCACACACAAAGTGGGAGTTGTCACAGCTGCTCTTTGCTGATGACACTGTGCTCTTGGGAGATTCTGAAGAGAAGTTGCAGAGATTGGTGGATGAATTTGGTAGGGTGTGCAAAAGAAGAAAATTAAAGGTGAATACAGGAAAGAGTAAGGTTATGAGGATAACAAAAAGATTAGGTGATGAAAGATTGAATATCAGATTGGAGGGAGAGAGTATGGAGGAGGTGAACGTATTCAGATATTTGGGAGTGGACGTGTCAGCGGATGGGTCTATGAAAGATGAGGTGAATCATAGAATTGATGAGGGAAAAAGAGTGAGTGGTGCACTTAGGAGTCTGTGGAGACAAAGAACTTGTCCTTGGAGGCAAAGAGGGGAATGTATGAGAGTATAGTTTTTACCAACGCTCTTATATGGGTGTGAAGCGTGGGTGATGAATGTTGCAGCGAGGAGAAGGCTGGAGGCAGTGGAGATGTCATGTCTGAGGGCAATGTGTGGTGTGAAATATAATGCAGAGAATTCGTAGTTTGGAAGTTAGGAGGAGGTGCGGGATTACCAAAACTGTTGTCCAGAGGGCTGAGGAAGGGTTGTTGAGGTGGTTCGGACATGTAGAGAGAATGGAGCGAAACAGAATGACTTCAAGAGTGTATCAGTCTGTAGTGGAAGGAAGGCGGGGTAGGGGTCGGCCTAGGAAGGGTTGGAGGGAGGGGGTAAAGGAGGTTTTGTGTGCGAGGGGCTTGGACTTCCAGCAGGCATGCGTGAGCGTGTTTGATAGGAGTGAATGGAGACAAATGGTTTTTAATACTTGACGTGCTGTTGGAGTGTGAGCAAAGTAACATTTATGAAGGGATTCAGGGAAACCGGCAGGCCGGACTTGAGTCCTGGAGATGGGAAGTACAGTGCCTGCACTCTGAAGGATGGGTGTTAATGTTGCAGTTTAAAAACTGTAGTGTAAAGCACCCTTCTGGCAAGACAGTGATGGAGTGAATGATGGTGAAAGTTTTTCTTTTTCGGGCCACCCTGCCTTGGTGGGAATCGGCCGGTGTGATAATAAAAAAAAAAAAAAAATAATAAATTTAATGTCAGTTTATCCAAAGAACTTTTATTAATAATAGGTAACAGAGAGATTCTAGCATTTATGACAGTAAATGTAACAAAGTCTCTTCCTGCCTGTTCAAATTATTATTCTATTCATGGGAAAGTGCTAAACTCATACAATGCCTGAGGAACTGGAGGTTGTCAGGCTAGATCCAAGGAAGAAGACAAGCTCCAAGCCCTTGGTTCAAGAGCCTTTCACCAGCAGCAGGGTATCCTTCCTACCCTTCAAGTGTTTGTTTTTCAACGTTAAATTCATGTATTAGTGAAAGTTAGACAATGGCGAGACATGTTATCGGGTTAAAAGCCCCCACCAGTGATTATTCAGAGTATCCAATTTTAATTAAGCCAAAAATGTTAATTGTGAATAGATAATAAAATGGACAAAACTGAGATTTACCCCATTATCAAAGATAGCAACATTTCAAAGCAAACACAGTGGTCCCTCATTTATCGTCGTAAATCCGTTCCTGGAAGTGCGACAATTATCGAATCAATTTTCCCCATAAGAAATAATGTAAATACAATTAATCCATTCCTGACACCCAGAAGTATTAAAACAAAATTTTTTTTACATGAAATATAGATGTAGTACATAAACAATACAATGGGACATGATGAATGAAACATTAACAGCATAACACTTACCTTTTAAATTGGCAATTTTTTCTTAGTGTAGGGGAAAGGTTTTGGAAAAAGGAGAGAGATTGGATTAGTTACTGTTTGAAAGGGGAACCCCCTTTCCCATAAACACCTCAGGTACCAAGTGCTTTTTTTTTGGGGTTTTCTTCTCTGTTTCTTAATGATACAAGGACCAGCTTGAAAAGTCACTTGGGGCCCTGTCTCAAAAAAAATTTGTCCAGGAGCTCTGTTTTTGGGGGTTTTCTTTAAAACTTCCCTAAAAAGGGCCAAAATTTGTCACGTACAATTTGGCCGATATGGTTTTAAAACACCCTTTTCAAAGGGTGATGTTTCTCCAAAAATTTTTCCCCTTTCCTACCCCAAAAATTTAAACTTCCCTTTATAAACCCCGGGTGAAATCCCACTACACTTTTTAAAAACTCTCAAACCAACCTTTTGCGGGCCCTTTAAAATTTCAAAATTTTATCAGTACCCCTTTTGCAGGAAATTTTTCTTTCCCAAAATCGTCATGCAAGGGCCCTACCCTTTTCCCCAAATAATTGACGTCAAAAGGGAGTATCCCTGCTAATTGTTTCTCGTTTATCCACACCAAAATTTAATTCTCAACATTTTCCCGAGTGCTTTGGGTTTCTCATTTTTTCAGCATATTTACCCCCCCTTTTCAACAACAGCTTCCTTGATTTCCCTTTTTTTTGGGCACGATGGAAGATATGGTTTGGGACGGGGTTTGTTTAATTTCATCCCGGCCGGGTTTAGCCAAAATGTATGCCCCTTTCAAATTGTTCAATTGGGGTTTTTTTTAAAATTTAATCGAAAAACTCACTTTTTTTTTCCCCAAAAGGGTTGGCACCCAGGGGGCTTTTTTTTGGGGGGCCCTGGTAGCTTATTTACACTTTTCAAGCACCCAAAATGAATGGAATATTTTGAAATATTTTGTATGAACAAGTGAAAGGGGAAAACCCTCGCTCCACTGGGGAAACAATGGCC